TGATTAGAGAGACTGTGCATGATTTAGAGAAATAAATGAAGGAATACATAGCTATTCCAGAACATATTACATTCTTAAGTGTGTTATGATGGTTGCCCTTGGATGATATATATCTAGGATAAAATTGAGGAGGAAGGCCTGAGCTTTCCGTGTTATATTCCTTTGAACAAAACCATATCACCGCGAAGGTCATTCATTCCATTTTATTACGTTAAAACAATTGATAAGAATCGATATCTATATTTGCCCCATATATAAATAAATTATCGTTTTCAGTTCGGTTGTTTAATTGTAAGTGCCTAATCGAAACCTAATTTGCTTTACTTGGAGATGCTTAAACACCATCATGATATATTCAATAATAAATCACGTTCACATGTTTATTACTTCATATTGAAATATTATTCCTTGATTGTAATTTCACTCATTTTTTTAGTATACTTGTCGGTCTGCATACAAACAGTAGACAATGCACAACTTATATAAAGTTAAAGTTATAAAAGTATCCTTTTGGTTGTTTTTATCAGTAACATTCGATGTATGAAACAAAATAAACAACCCGGACATATAACAGGTATATAATATTAAGCATGGGGTTGTATATAAAAACACCAGCAATACAATGACATCCTGCCAAAACATATAAAAAGGCTTCGACGAACCAAGCAGTTGACTGCCGTTGTTAACGGAACAATATAAGACACCGTCCACACATTCCTAAACAGTTACAATAAATATAGGCTATCACCAGGTTAATCCGAACCAATTATTTAACAAAACAACATTGTGTTAAATACTTCATAGGTTTAAAGCATTCGCTTTTATCCGTCAATTGGAAATAAACCTGGGTTAACATATACCATATAGTTGTCATTGAACGTGTTCGACAACTTTATGATTATAGAGGAAACATAATAGCCTAGCTGTTTATAACTATGAAAATTGAACTAACCTGTTCGTTCCTCTTTTGTTGGTTTCCGTATTTCAAAATAAGGATCATCGTCCAGCATTTGTGACTGGGTAGCCATTGTTTACCCTCCTAACAGTTAGCAGCTCACACCCCGACCACAAGACGGTCACACGTTAAGTCGTACACGTGCTGTTGTTGATTTCTCTATCCTATTACTCAGGTGATATACAGTTAGAGTATTGTATATCCTTAGTCGTGTTTACACTGTAAATCACCTATACTGTATTTCCTCGTTATGTACTAGCTGGGATGTGGTACAGGAGGACCAACAAGCAGAATGATAATCCCGATTATTGTTGTTAGGCGGACATTTATCATATGATATGATATGATTATCACTGTGTGGGATTCGTAAATCGTACTGTACAATTAATGTTAACGGTATTTGTTTCTAATGATTTGATCGTCTGATTTGATGAACGGCTTCATGACGGGTGCTCTTGGTTTGATTAAGTAGATCTGGGGTTAGGGGTTTTCTGTTTACTGACCTTGGGTTAGGGGTTTTCTGTATACAGGCCTTGGGTTATTGGTTTTCTGTATAGACCTCGGGTTAGGGGTTTTCTGTACACAGACCTCGGGTTATTGGTTTTCTGTATACAGACCTTGAGTTAGGGGTTTTCTGTATACTGACCTGCACTGACCTTGGGTTAGGGGTTTTCTATATACATACCTTGAGTTAGGTTTTTTTTGTATACAGACCTTGGGTTAGGTGTTTTCTGTATACTGACCTTGGGTTTTTGGTTTTCTGTGCACTGACCTCGGGTTATTGGTTTTCTGTGTTCAGACCTTGGGTTAGGGGTTTTCTGTTTACTGACCTCGGGTAAGGGGTTTTATGTATACAGACCTTGAGTTAGGAGTTTTCTGTATACAGACCCTGAGTTAAGAGTTTTCTGTATACTGACATCGAGTTATTGGTTTTCTGTATACAGACCTTGGGTTAGGGGTTTTCTGTATACAGACCTTGGGTTAAGGGTTTTCTGTATACAGACCTTTGGTTAGGGGTTTTCTGTATACAGACCTTTGGTTAGGGGTTTTCTGTGTACTGACCACGGGTTGGAGGTTTTCTGTATACAGACCCTGAGTGAGGGGTTTTCTGTATACAGACCTTGAGTGAGGGGTTTTCTGTATACAGACCTTTGGTTAGGGGTATTCTGTGTTCTGACCTTTGGTTAGGGATTTTCTGTATACAGACGTTGCTTTAGGGGTTTTCTGTATTCAGACCTTGAGTGAGGGGTTTTCTGTATACAGACCTTTGGTTAGGGGTATTCTGTGTTCTGACATTTGGTTAGGGATTTTCTGTATACAGACGTTGCTTTAGGGGTTTTCTGTATACAGACCCTGAGTTAAGGTTTTCTGTAAAAGCATCAAGGTGTAGGGGTTTTCTGTAATATCGTTGTATATTTATTTAGGTCTGTTTTGTATACAGACAGTATGTGTACTACATAACGATCAACCGCTTCTTTAGGATCTGATCCTGTGAAGGATTATTTCTTTAAGACCCCGATCAAAGGATCAGTTACTTTGTAGTGTATTTAATTGTTAAACAAGCAATAACTACAACAATACACACTCTACCTATATATACCTAATCAGCTTAACGCTTGTAAGGTGTGAAATCTTAGTACTAGAGTGAAACACGTGTAACCTATCGGGCCTCTCATGTTTAACATGCAGTAATACGGATTAGACAACCCATGTTCCCCTTTGTCGACTCAGTTTACAGGGACTTTCATCCACAGTATTGGTCAAAACAATACCAAGCGATATGTCAAACGTGCCAACCATCATAACCGTTTACGCTCCGTTCCTGGCGTCCCTATCGTCAGGGTCTCAGCTATTCCAACTGTTCGGCCACTCGCATCACGTGGAAACTTGGCTCTATCCCAGGAAGCCACCAGCCATATATGAAGATTCTACACTTTTTTGTTCTTCAGAAGTCGTTTGAAGTGTTTGACACATTTGACCAATGTGACCTTGAACGTAGGTCAAGGTCATTTTTGTTCTCAACCTTTGTCGGCCTCTATCCCAGGAAGCCATATATCAAATGTAAAGATTCTATACCTTTCAGTTCTTCAGAAGAAGTCGTTTGAACCGTTTGACATAATTGAACGCTGTGACCTTGAAAGTAAGTCAAGGTAATTTTCGTTCGCAAACTTTGTTAGTCTCTATCCCAGGAAGTCACCAGTCAAATATTAAAATGTTATACCTTTCAGTTCTTCAAAAGAAGTTGTTTTAAACGTTAGACATATCTAACTCCTGTGACCTTGAAAGTAGGTCAAGGTGATTTTCATTCTCAAACTTTGTTTGGCTCTTTCCAAGGAAGCTACCAGCCAAATATTTACGTTCTATACCTTTCAGTTCTTCAGAAGAAGTCGTTTTAAGCATTAGACACATTTGACCCCTGTGACCTTGAAAATAGGTCAAGGTCATTTTCATTAAAAATTTGTCGGGCTTTATCCCAGGAAGCCATAAAACAAATATAAAGATTCTATAACTTTCAGTTCTTCAGAAGAAGTCGTTTTAAGCATTTGACATATTTAACCCCTGTGACCTTGAAAGTAGGTCAAACTAATTTTCATCCTCAAACTCTGTTGGGCTCTATCTCAGTAAGCCAACAGCCAAATATAAAGATTCTATACCTTTCAGTTCTTCAGAAGTTAGAAGTGTTTGACACATTTACTCCTGTGAGGTGAGGCGAGTTCAGGTGTTCTGGACAGGTACGAGGAGAAAAAGACCAGGTGTTCTGGAACCCTGGACAAGTACGAGGAAATAGGACCAGGTGTTCTGGAACCCTGGACAAGTTCGAGGAGACTCAGACCAGGTGTACTGGAACCCCGGACAAGTACGAGGAGACTAAGACCAGGTGTTCTGAAACCCCGAACGAGTACGAGGAGACTAAGACCAGGTGTTCTGGAACCCTGGACAAGTACGCGGAAATAAGACCAGGTGTTCTGGAACCCCGGACAAGTACGAGGAAATAAGACCAGGTGTTCTGGAACCCTGGACAAGTACGAGGAAATAAGACCAGGTGTTCTGGAGCCCTGGACAAGTACGAGGAAATAAGACCATGTGTTCTGGAACCCTGGACGAGTACGAGGAAATAAGACCAGGTGTTCTGGAGCCCTGGACAAGTACGAGGAAATAAGACCATGTGTTCTGGAACCCTGGACGAGTACGAGGAAATAAGACCAGGTGTTCTGTAACCCTGGACAAGTACGAGGAAATAAGACCAGGTGTTCTGTAACCCTGGACAAGTACGAGGAAATAAGACCATGTGTTCTGGAACCTTGGACAAGTACGAGGAAATAAGACCAGGTGTTCTGGAACCCCGGACAAGTACGAGGATAATAAGACCAGGTGTTCTGGAACCCCGAACAAGTACGAGGAGACTAAGACCAGGTGTTCTGGAACCCCGGACAAGTACGAGGAGAATAAGACCAGGTGTTCTGGAACCCTTGACAAGTACGAGGAGTCGAAGACCAGGTGTTCTGGAACACCGGACATGTACGAGGATACTAAGACTAGGTGTTCTGGAACCCCGGACAAGTACGAGGAAATAAGACCAGGTGTTTTGTACCCTGGACAAATACGAGGAAATAAGACCAGGTGTTCTGGAACCCCGGACAAGTACGAGGAGACTAAGACCATGTGTTCTGGAACCCCGAACGAAGACGAGGAAATAAGACCAGGTGTTCTGGAAACCTGGACAAGTACGAGGAAATAAGACCAGGTGTTCTGGAACCCCGGACAAGTACGAGAATAATAAGACCAGGTGTTCTGGAACCCCGAACTAGTACGAGGAAATAAGACCATGTGTTCTGAAACCCTGGACAAGTACAAGGATAATAAGACCAGGTGTTCTGGAACCCCGGACAAGTACGAGGAGACTTAGTCCAGGTGTTCTGAAAAGGGCAGCGGACCTATTAGACTTTGCCATTAGTAACATTTCCAATAGAGTGAACAATGCCAGGACTGAAGAGTTCGACGGTAGATTTATTGAATATAATCATTGTGATTACTCTGTGTGATCACATGTCAAAATATAGTTATGATTACAGGAAATACGAATAAGGAAGCACTGTTTAACATAAAAACAATTGTCGATGCATAAGGTTAAGCAACGTCAATGTTTACAGCACCAGCGGAAAGCCCATTGATAAACTTAACGTTAACTCAATGACGCACCATATTAATAACATCAAGTTCGATTGTGCAAAAATAGTATTTGTATTTTTTCATATTTTTTTTTCAAGCGGTCATTATTCCGAATTTACGTTTCTGCTTACTTTTAATTGCGAACTTGTTCTTGGTGAGTCATAAGCTTATGAAGGTTGATGGAGAAGAGCTCTCGATTAAGGATAATTACAACAGACAATGACTTCAATAACAGATTATGATGTCAATAAAATAAACATCTCTTGTTGTAATCAACCTTATTGACTGATATGATCTATCTTGACTATATGTTCACGCATTATAAATTCTCATTTCAAAATTGAACACAAAAAATTAGCATGGATTCTTTCATGATCAGAGGTCAGGTTATCTACAATAGCTGTTCAACACGATCTTCATTGAACAAACAAAAGAACACATTATGACCTTCATAAGACAAGTCAACGGAACCTCAGTAGTCCAACTGTAAGCTCCATATTCCGTCTTTGCGTATTGCAGAGTTATCTTCTCTTGTGAGCAGGTATTGATTGTTACGTCATTGGTTTGTGAGAGTAACGTCATCAATTTTTGAGAAAACGACGTAATTTTCTCACACAAACCAATGACGTAACAATCAATACCTGCTCCCAAGAGAAGATAACTCTGCAATACGCAAAGACGGANTCACGTCCATCTGTTGTTACCTGATTTATTGAATAACAAATACAAAATGTTGGGACTCAGTCATTCCATTTTTCAGCACTGATCAAATCTAGCATTGCGTATGTACGAGAGATAGATTTTGAATGGAGTTTAATGATTACTCCAAGTCTGGAGTCAGGTGTACAATTTATTAATTTTAACTTCACTTCATCAATATTTTACCGCACAGGAACCTCAATGCCAAATATCGGCATCCTAGTACAGAAATTTAATGAATGACAAGCTTCTAAATAACTTACAGGTAAAACTTTAACGTTGATGTACTTAAAAAAAGGTAAGTAAAAAACAGGTAAAAAAAAAATCCCTTCAAAATTTGAGAAATTCTTTTTTAATTTTCACTTCACTATGTTAATATTATACCCCACATGAACCTCAATGAATGACAAGCGTCTAAATAACTTGCAAGTAAAACTTAAACATTTTTACGCTGACGCTCACACCGGGGGTAACGCTATAGCTCTCTGTTCATCGAACAGGCGAGCTAAAATGATAAAGTATATTATAAGGCACTAATTGATAAGTAATACGGGAATCAAGTCCACACAAACATTATCAAATATCGAAATTGTAAATTCGACGATAAAAAAATAACAAATACAGGAGGAAGCTATGAGCACACGCATGAACAACCCTATTTAATTACAACATTAAAATAGGAATAAAGAAAGCGCCGTTTAAATATTAAGGCAGTCAACATTTATCTGAAACATTTCAACACATTTATCTTACGTTAAAAAACATCAGGAAACAAATGGAAGATTGGTTTCTCAGTAGTTTTGTGCACTGGAACAAATCTGGCAAGATTTTGGGTGAAAGTTAAATGTCATTGCTTTGTACCTTGTCCAAGCATCTCGGAGACAAGATCGACTTAACCACACTAAGAGTTATTAGGAGATGAATTCAACCGATGTCTTCGCACTGACAACAAAATAGCATCAATAAATGTTTACTGTGAAAGTCTCATTAGGCATATTCATTAGCATGTATCATAGGAGACACCTTGGTGTCACAACCGAAATGTCTGAATGATAATTATAAGCAGACGACAGTCACGTGAGTACATGGAAGTTGACGTTTTGACAATCAGTATTTGTCTACAGAGGAACAGTGCCAGGATGGAATGGTTCCTTGTTACGAGAGATTGGCTGTGTCTTGTAACAGTAGTCTGCTCCAAGCTCAGTTGACATGGGAAACCAGTAGTCTCTCCATCATCCGATCAGTCATAGGAGAGTTCTCTTTGAAAGCCTTTCTCTCAACCAGTAGATGTCTGTAAAAGAGATCACGTGATTAACAGTCGGCGTAAAACAATTTGAGTGAGAATTTGTTTTCTTGTATTTATTTGTTCTCAAGTACTAATAAGCAAATTTTGATTTAATCAAGACAGTAACCTTGTTATCTTACTATGTAATTCACGCATTAGATATTTATTCAATTATCAAAACACACCAACAAAATAACATAATACGAATAATGTTCTGACAGTATTTTGCACCATTGGACCGTATATAAACATTGTTATGTTATTTTTTAAGACAACATGAAATTATAAGAAAAACTTCAAGTAACAAAAACGGAAATTACACTCAGAAAAATGAATTAAGTGTCACAATCTTCCTTAAAAAACAACAACAAAAAACAAAAACAAAATGTCTGAAATTTGTTTATGCGTTATTTCATTAATATTTATATATCTAAATTTGAATGATTTCAAGGGCAATTCTTCAAACAAGAGGCCCATAGGGCCTGTATCGCCCACCTGGATATCTAAGCAATCATGGCAGAATATTCTCCGAATGGGATCCAAGGGAATATGCCAGACCCCAAGGCCAATCCTTGTAGCATATATATCTGTATTCAATTTTTCATGCCCAGCAGTTTTATGTATGGTTATGGGGTGGGGATCTCAACTGTTTCCAAGCTATGACTCAGAAACTAGGTCCCTATGGTTGTGGCCAGACCCCAGGATCAATTCTAATATCATGACTGCATTTGTCTCTTTTTGCCCAGCATTTGTATATATAGTTTTGGGGTGGGGATTTCAACCGTTTCAAAGTTATGACCCAGGGGTTAAGTCTGCAAGGGTGGGGCAGTCTCCAATGCCATCCTTGAAGCATATGTGCATTCATCTCTTTATACTCAGCAATTGTACATGTGGTTATATGGTGGGGATCTCAACCATTTCCAGGCAATAAACTTTTTTTGGTCCCACCCCTTAGCCCGGGGGGTCAGCCCCACCATTTGTACAATTTTGAATCCCCACCACCTAGGAATGCTTCCAGTCTAATATGGTTGATATCCATCACTTAGTTACAGAGAAGAAGTCGCTTTTAAGCAATATAGTCAAATAACCCTTTTTGGCCCCGCCCCTCAGCCCCCTGGGGGGTCAGCCCCACCATTTGTACAATTTTGAATCACTGCCTCCCATGAATGCTTCCGACCAAATATGATCGATATCCATGGCATAGTTTTACAGAAGAAGTCGTTTATAGCAATCTAGCCAAATTGCCCCCTTTTTGGCCCCGCCCTTCAGCCCCTTGGGGGTCAGCCCAACCATTTGTACAATTTTGAATCACCACCACCTAGGGATGCTTCCAGTCAAATATGGTTGATATCCATCTCTTAGTTCCAGAGAAGAAGTCGCTTAAAGCAATATAGCCAAATTGCCCCCTTTTTGCCCCGCCCCTCAGCCCCCTGGGGGGTCAGCCCCACCATTTGTACAATTTTGATTCCCCACCACCTAAGGATGCTTCCAGACAAATTTAGTTAAATTCCAATCATTGGTTAAGAAGAAGAAGTCGTTTAAAGAAATTGTTGACGGACGGACGACGGACGACGGACGGACGGACGGACGGACGGACGACGGACGCCACGGTATGGCATAAGCTCACCTCATTGAAATTGGTTCAGTGAGCTAATAACTCAATATTCAACGAAAAACACCCTTATCCTAGCCCCCTTTTCAAAGACGAATCAGTTGTATGTTTAAAGTTCAAGTCAAATCGAAAACCAAAAATGTCATGCCAGCCAATTCATTAAGTAGTGAGTGCACTTTCAAGTTTTGGAATTGTTGACGGAAGGATATATCTGAATTTGCCTTTGGAAAACATCCCAAATGTGTCAACCTATTGGGTCAATTGGTATTTGATCGTACATAATAATGCTAATGAGTTATTATCTGGTAAATGTTACAGCAATATCGCATGTATTACAAAGCTATTACCTTCCAAAGTTCTTGTGTTCTTTCCTGTCTGATTTTAAAGCAGAATCGATCAGGAGCAAATCAAAGATGTCCCTCTGAAACAAAAAACATTTAATTGACAAGACAATTTCAAATCTTATATCAAACTACTTCTGTGGCTTTTTTAACTACAACTTAATCACCTGTTAGATATACGGAATAACGACAGGGTAGACATCTATTTGATATTTATAGACGCAGAAAGGAAAACAAAACAAAATAATACATTGCACAAAATCAGGCTGTCTGGCAGGTTCGACGAGAAAAAGGAAAAAGCCGAATTCTGTTCCCATGAATTCACGCAGGCATACTAATGTAAACAATGGTTTCAGCGCTTAACCCTACTTCTGGTGAGATTAGCAGCAGTCGGGAAAAGGCTTCGCACTCTTATGCTTGACTGGAATCTTAAATATTTTGATACTAATATAATGACAAGAGGCCCATGGGCCTTAACGGTCACCTGATATATGTATACAGAGATTCTAAACAAGGAAAATGAAGAAATTTTAGCACACTGACTCCTTTGAGCCCCACCCTACAGCCCTTGGGGGAAGGGCTGGCTCAAAATTTTCAAAGTATCAAACTGTCAACTCAAGGTTATAATTCCAATCAAGTTATTAACATGTAATATTCAAAGTATCATTTGCCATTATAAACCATAATAAATTTTGCCCCTCCCCCTCCTTCCCCAGGGGGTATACGTGAGACCCTAGGGTCACAAACCTTAAGACCCTTCCATCTATGAAGAGTATTTGATTCTACCAAATGTGGGTCTTGAGAAGAAGATTTTTGAAATTTCAGTCAATTCAACCCTTTTTGGCCCCACCCATCAGCCCCTGGGGGTCAGTCAGGGCTGATATGTGCATACTATCAAACTGCTACCTAATACTGATAA